GGATGATTATAGGGAATAAGAAAAAAACTAAATTTTATAAACATTTTATTGTGGAGAAGTATGAGAGAGTGAGCAATTCAAGATTTTTTTTTTTGAGACAGAGTCTTACAATGTCGCCTCAGTAGAGTGCTGTGGCATCATAGCTCACAGCAACCTCAAACTCTTGGGTTTAAGCGATTCTCTTGCCCCAGCCTCCCAAGTAGCTAGGACTACAGGTGCCCACCACAACACCTGGCTATTTTTTTTTGTTGTGGTAGTCATTGTTGTTTAGCAGGCCCAGGCTGGGTTTGAACTCACCAGCCGAGGTGTATGTGGCCTAAGCCCTACCCACTAAGCTACAGATGCCGCTGCAATTCAAGATTTTTTTTTTTTTTTTAGAGACAGAGTCTCACTTTGTCACCCTCAGTAGAGCGCTGTGGCATCACAGCTCACAACAACTTCCAGCTCTTGGGCTTAGGTGTTTCTCTTGCCTCAGCCTCCTGAGTAGCTGGAACAAGTGCCCGCCACAACGCTCAGCTATTTTTTGTTGCAGTTTGGCGGGGGCCAGGTTTGAACCCACCATCCTTGGTATATGGGGCCGGCACCCTACTCACTAAGCCTCAGGCGCCACTCAGCAATTCAAGATCTTTAATCAGATAAAATATATTGCATTAGGATAAAATTCTGTGGGGAAAGTGTAACTGGAAATATGAATTAGCCAAATTCATAGGCTAATTATAGCCTATCATAGCCCCCAAAGTAGGGCTAATTTTTAAAAATTTTCCAAATGTTAAAAGAGTTCATCATGTACATATATATATTTTAAATTCTTTTTATTTTTTGAGACAGAGTCTCAAGCTGTCCCCCTGCATAGACTGCTGTGAGGGCACAGCTCACAGCAACCTCCAACTCTTGGGCTCAGGGATCCTCTTGCCTCAGTGTTCTATTTTTAGTAGAGACAGGGTCTCGCTCTTGCTCAGGCTGGTCTTCAACTCTTGAGCTCAAGCTATCCACCTGCCTCTGCCTCCCATAGTGCTAGGATTACAGGCGTGAACCCTCACACCCCACCCATCACATATTTTTAAACAGATGACATATATTGAATTATATATATATTGAGCTAAATATATTGAGTCCTGGCATTTAGATTCCATTGGATACATTTTTTAAAGAGTGTCAAAAGATGAAGCTGGACGTCAGTTGAAAAGTGAAACTAGGCCAGGTATGCTGGCTCAGGCATGTCATCCCAGCACTCTGGGAGGCAGAGGTGGGTGGATTGCTTGAGCTCAGGAGTTCGAGACCAGTCTGAGCAACAGCAAGGGCCCCCTCCCACACCCCCATCTCTAAAAAACTAGCTGGGTATTGTGGTAGGCACCTGTAGTCCCAGCTACTCAGAAGGGTGAGGCAGGAGGATAGCTCAGGAGTCTGAGGTTGTTGTGAACTATGACACTCCGACACTCTACCCAGGGCACAGAGTGAGACTGTCTTAAAAAAAAAAAAAAAAA